CTGCCTCTAGGTCCCTAATAAATAAACTCCTCAATCTCACAAACTAAAAAAAAAAACTTCTAGCAAAAATCACTGACATTAATATAACCATAGAAATAAAAAACCATATTAACAGATACTTTGAAAACTTTCTAACAATTATTCACAAACTACATGAGAAATATGAACTTTGTACAATTCCTGAAAACTGATTCCAAGCTCCCAAGCTTTCCTTATCTTCCATGGAAGAACTCAACAAAATGTGTGAATAAAGTCTTTCTGAAGTCAGATTCCTATTAAAAGATGACAAAAATCTATCTATAACAATTGCCCAATTGCATAAAAAATATACTTTTGAAAGACTTCCTGATAATTACATTGCCTCTAAAGATCTATTGGAGCCTGGTTTCGATCTTGTTCCCTTTATTTGCTAATATAACAAGTCTGCTTAACTTTAGTTACTCATTACAAATAAATGCAAACTAAAACTCTTTAACAAAAAAATAAACTGTACTTATCAAAAATCTTTTGAACATATCAACTCTCAACACAGTTAGGTTAAATGATACTGTCAAACTAACAGCTCTCACATATGATCTTGCAAACAAAAGATCAATTTTATACTGCTCCAAAACAAAAATCTCATATAAAAACTACCTCTTGAAAAAATGCAACAACTACACCATTATTGCAAGTTCTTCTTCAGTCTCTTCTAAAAATAAAGCCTATTTAATAATTGGCAAGGACTTGATCAACCATATATTCAAGATATTCACAGAAAATGAATACTGATATATAGTTCACCTCAAATTTAAACTAAAAATTGACCTAATTGTCACTACCATCTACCTTTCACATGAGTCAGAAGAATGTAAAATAGTAACAAAAACATTAATCAAGCATATCAAAAAATTTGGAAACAGTACATACCAAATCATGGCTGGCAATTTCAACACTTACTCAATAGGCATCCTAGTATTGACGTCTCTCTCAGTGAGTCTGTTGTTTCTCTGGAGCACTTCTCATATAATGTATGTAAGTGTTTGGCTTCTCTACTTGAGGCGTATGAATTGTTTAACCAAGTTTTACTAACTTTTTCCTTCTCTTTCTGTTGTTGCTTTTCTTGATGAATCTTTATCACTTTTCTCTTCATGGTTCCAAGTATTCTATCTGCAACAAGTACTAGATTAGATAAGTTAATTAGTTTTACTTCTTTTGGCAATAATTATCACATGTTCTAATTAAGAAGGTTTTAATTTAAGAAATAGTTCTTCTTATTTGCATGGCCTCTCTCTCTTTTTACAATTTTCTCTTCTATTTATATCATTGTTACCACTAGAAAAACAATTAAGGGAAAATAGACTATCAATAGATTATCCTTACAAGAGAAGTTATGGAAAGTCTATTCTAAATTCTAATTATTGCGTCATTGCTTATACAACTCCACTAATTGTTCCCAATTTTCAGGGTACACAACACACCAGATCACATATTGTGGTCATGCTTCATGCAATTTTCCTGCTAATACTAGCAATAAATACCTCAACATTAAATCCAAAAATAAGAATCTACAACTACATGCACAATTGGATCAACATTATTAAGGTGTTTAATAAAGAACATGATTTTATCTACTACATTCAGACAAGTGCTTCAAGAATTGATCAGATTTGGTGCACCAACTATTTGGATTCTAAAGTTCTGGAAGCTAAAACATTTGTCTCGCACTTTATAATCTTTAATTATAAACAAGTTCAAGTTATCTTTGATTGGTTCGAATATAAATCAGAAATACAAGACTGTTAGACCAAAATCTTTGACTGGAAGGCTATATCACTACAACAAAAAAAGAACTTCAGAGAAGAAGTTGACTTAAAAATTGACATAGCTAATACTGTAAGTGCTCCTGGACAATATTCAACAAGATTATGATAAGTGTAGCAAGAAACAATCTTCCACTAGTCAAACCTTCAATTTACAGAGACAAACAGCAAAAAACAGGCCAGCATTTCAGAACACTAAAACAAATTAAAGGATTAATCTCAGATATTAAAAAGAGAAAAAATCTGAACATACAATGCACAAAAAAACAAAGTTCCAAAGAATATCTATATACTTTATCAAAAAGTTTTTAACAATATCCCAGTATCAATTAACATACTTAATCATTTAATAAACACCTTAATTAAAGAGAGATTGCATCAAAAAAAGAACAGTGATCAGATCAAATTTACAAAAATATTCTTGACAATTACTTCAAATTTTGGAGAAGACCAAAAAGCTTTATTAAGAAAGCACTAGGTGACCTGAAATCCTTTCTGAATCTAAATATAGTACAAGACAATGAGGATAACCTCACAGATGATCCAGAAGAAATTAAAACAATCATAATTAACCATTTTAAGAGAATTCTTAGTAATAGTGACTTCAACCTAACAAATTCAAATTGGATCAGTATATACTTACCACTGATTAACATATCAGAGGATATATACAACACAACCCAAATTAACATCGAAGAATTATATGAAGTTACCTGCAGACTGCTTTTAAACAAGACTCCAGAAGAATTAAAAATCATATATTAAATGATTAATTTCTTAAGCAAAAACTTGAAAGATATACTATTATGCTTGTATAATAATATTCTAACTAGCAAACAAATTTCTATAAATTGGAAAAAATTATCAATAGTTTTGTTACCAAAAAAACTAGTTTGGTTTTGCAGAATCTTAGACACTTAAACAATCTTATTTATTGAGTTTACCAAAAAGATTTTCATAAAAATAATTAAACTCAGAGTTTCAACAGTACTCATCAAGCACAAAATCCTATCAAAGGCAAGCTTTGCTGGCCTCACAGAGCAGAGCATTATGGAACTCTTATCAATAACCATCTCAATTATAAATGTCACAATTAACTTCAATCAAGAGCTGTGGATTACTTCATTTGACATTGCTAAAGCCTTCAACTCAGTAAACCTCAGCAGCTTAAAAGCAGCCCTTTCAAGAATTAAAATCCTAAACAAGCTAACAAATTTATTTATTAACTTGCTTAACAATAGAAATCTTTCTATAATAATTAACTTCAGAAAAACAAGCAACTTCACAGTTTCAAAAAATTTAGATCAAGGAAAAACCCTGTCACTTTTGTTTTGAACTATCTTTTATGACCCAATGGTAGTAACAATTTTTAATCAACAAAATTATGTACTAATTTTTTATAATATTCTCATATATATGGATGATATATTTCTAATGGCTCAATCAATAAGAGAACTCCAAAAAACTACAGATATTTTTTGCTTCTTTTTTACTCTCAACAATATCAAGTGCAACATTGAAAAAACAATACTAATCACAACCCTAAGCAACAATAACAGCAACAAAAACTTATGCTTAAATATTTTCAATACTTCAATTCAATTGTTGCTGCATAAAGTGTCACTGCACTACCTAGGCAACCATTTCTTGGACAACAGTATTAGCAGTTCATGCAAGCAACTCTTTATCAAAAACCTGAATCAAACAATCTCTGCACTAGATAAGGGGAGTGCCATTTATTATGTAATTTATTTTTATTATAAGGCTATCCCCCCTCCCCCCCCTGGTGTTCTATAATATAAAATTAAGCTAAATAAAATTTATAAATTAAACTAAATAGAATTTATGTAAAATTAAGCTAAATAAAATTAATTTATTAAATAAAATTAAAATAAAAATTTATTAAATTGTTTACTAAAAATAATTTAAAAAAAATTAAAAATAAAATAGTATAATTATGATAAAATTATGACATCTAAAAACTTGATTTTAATGTAACATGCTCTGATTTTTTTTTTCAAACTAAATATATTCCAAATTTCCCAATTGATCAACCTAACCGATAAATATGAGAGCACATCGATGAATCAGCAATGAGATTCCGATAAACATATCCAGAACGGCGAGTCCTTAGACGTACCTCGTGCAGCAACTCTTAGCTTAATCTTTTTATTTTCGTGGGCCAACATGAGAAAATACCTACACCCGAGTTAATTTTTGGTACGTCCCTGGAAAAACTACCTAAAGAATTTTTTTTTTTGGTCATCCCGGGTGTGGCAGAAGAAAACTGTCTAAGAAAAAGTTTGACGTCTTCTGGGCTGATGTAAAAATGTACATACCAGAGTTTTTTTTTTGTCTTCGAAGGAAACAATAGGTCTGATGAAAGAGATGATAAATTAAGATGAATGTAGCGATAGAAAAGGATCTCAAGAAATTTATTGAAATTAACCACATACCAACCATTGACCTTTGAAAAAGGGACACTCCACGTCAACTGTGATACTAAGAATAAGCACATCTTAGGAAAGAGTCAATAATATCGATGCCCTGGAATGTACAGAGAAAAATCAATAAAACGCATACTTCTGTTACTTAGGAGCACACCCGCAGATGATCAGCCTACAACTGACTAACTATACCGTACAGCCTTCACTCAGAAACTGCCGTTCCATTAGAAGATAACCCAAAGCTCACCTGAATCAAGCAAGAAGACCAAAACCAGAAATATTCAACACGTATATCTGTCATCCTGATTCGATAACTAAACTATGACCAAAGAGAAATTCATCAGTTTAAATATCCTACAAAAGAATCATCAAAAGGAATCACCAATCTCCATCCAGAATGCTAGGACAATACGAAACCTACTTTCAAATTGAAAGACCTATAAGAAGATAATAAAGAAACCGCAAACCCTCTGCATGAATCTCAAGAAAGAAAATTTCGCTGGACACCCTGTTCCGATCTAACAATCTATTAATAAAGATTACAAACCAAAGGATTATTACATAACAACTTGTACTAACAAGAAGAGAAAGAGACGATACCTCTCGATGAATCTGGAACTATCCGAAACTATAGGACCATTAGAAGACAACGATATGCCGAATAAAGAGAAGAAAGAAATCCCCACCTGAACGAATCAAGAACGGTTAAAAGAACTTACCTCTTAACATCACCCTTTCCAAGCTTTGACCAATGAAGACAGATAAGAAGGTAATGAATCATAAAGATACATGCCTACATCATTGATCAATTTGATAAAGGTTTTTTTTTTTGTTAGAATCACGGAAAAATCGTTTTGATTTTGTATGAGAACGTACAATATAGGTGCCAGGGAACTGTTAGGAATGAAGCCGTCATGCCCGATTATGTCATGAATCGTGCGCAAGCCCTAGATTGTGATGTAAGCTGTGCTTTAATGTGGCTGTAAATAGGAACATAGTTATAGTAGCGCATTTATGGGAAAAGTGAGGATAGTAATATTAGATAATTCTTATATAAACATAATAGAACACATGTATATAAGAGTAGCGTTGCAGAAGGAAAAAAAATATTATGTATCATTTATTAATTAAAAATCATTTCACCTACCTCAGAATAAATATTCTTTAACATTACGTATAATATTCTACTATGGCTCAGAGTTTTCTTTCGATGCCGTATTTTCAAAAACTTATTTGTATGCTAATCCTACAATTATATATCATGAATTTTGTAATGCTTTTGTATTCTTCACAATGGTTAAATCTTGCAATCCAAGTATGAAACGATAAGATTTGATGGATGCAGCAAACAAAGAATGGCGCAAATATTGGAAAAAATCTGAAGCAACAATCAAAAATCAAATTAATCAATATTTGATTGCTAGTCTATCTATTGTTCGAACAACTGCTTTTTTTTTACCACCCAATTCACTTGACTTACCTAGTTCAGAATTATCAACTTCGAACTCAGCTGGCTCAAAATTACTAGTTTCAGATTCAAGTTCATTATTATTAAATAAAACACCTATTGCTCCTAATGCACCAGCTCAATGCAAGTCTTTAATGTTGATTCAAGAAGCCGAAGTTAAAATAACTGAATATGAACATTTACTGATAAATACTAGTGATAAGGATCTTTGATGTCAGATATATGAAAAATTAAAAAAACCCATGCTACTATTGAGAAGGAAAAAACTTATTTTAATTTACTTAAACGTCATGCTGCATCTCAAGAGAAATATCAGAAAAAAAAACAAAGGCAACTTGAAGAAGGAATTGTTGAAATGTTTGATACAAGAAGACATCCATCAGAATTTCAAAAAAATTTTAAATTGCTTAATCAAATACATAAATGCATTGAATTTGGCGCAGCAGATAAAAAAAGAAGAAAAACTACAATTAAAGTTCATACTATAAAACATTTAAAAGAAGCTTTACAAGAAAAATAAAATATTTATATTACTCGTCAAACACTTTCAACATACCTTTTACCTCAACATTCCAATACACGTAATGTACTTCATCATCATCATCCAGCAAATATTAAAATTGCAGCAGTATCCCGATCCGAAATGAACTTTCATATTGATGAGCATTATTGTCTTGCATCCGTTAAAATGGTCAGAGAATTTGCTTCAACCTTCACCAACCATAGTATTATTATCTCACAAGATGATAAAGCCAAAATTGGTTTAGGTATACCGACAGTTGGTAGAACTTTTCGAAGTTTTCAATCTTTTAATGAACCTGTTACCGTTTCCGATCATGACTTTCCTTATGGAATAAAACAAAAACTCATACCTTCAGTTTATCTTATCATTAATTCCGGAGATACAAATGAATCACTACGACAAGGTCAATTATCAATTTATATTAGACCAGAATATTTTGTCAAAACATCTTCGACATTGCATATGAGAGATCTAATTGATATCACAAAAAATAATAATTATATACAAATATTTGAATATGAGGAATATTTTAAATCTATATAGATCTTATTAGTTGACGGAGGACCTGATAAAAATCCTAGACATTTAAAAAATATTATTGAATATTGTCATTTTTTCCATAAGCTTAATCTTGATTACCTTTTAATTCGTACACATGCTCCTTTTCAATCTGCTTATAATCCAGTTGAACGTAGTATATGTACTCTTTCCAAAAAACTTGCTGGAATTGAATTACCAATTGATAAATTTGGATCACATCTTAATAGTCAGGGTATATGTAACATTTAATGTGTGGGGACATTATAATATTAGGATTAATAAAGGAAAACTTTATTAAATATGAGAGAAACCAGACAACTCTGTTATTTCCC